TCCTTTTCCGGAAAAACTGAAAACGGAATAGTATTCTGTTTTAAGCATTTCCGGAAATTAATGCCAGTGTAGACACAGCCTAAGTGAAAGGAACAGAGTGTATGTTAAAGTTCCATATTCATCCAGAGAAGACTCCCTTGGAGTAGGAATTACAGAACCCTCTCACAGGTGCAGATTTTCAGGGGCAGGTCTGGAATAGCCTTAGCATGTATCCTGTGCAGAGTCAGGATATGCTATAGACTAGATAGGCTTGCAGGGATATTGAATCACACATCTGGGGCCCACTCTAGTCCTTGGGCAGCCCAGGATCAGGAGGGTTCACCAAGATTACAAAAAGCCAGAGGATCACAGAATTTTTAACTTCCCCCTTTGTGGTATGGTCTAGCGGTGCATCTACACTGAAGAGCTTAACTCGAAATAAGATATGCAAATTGAGCTATGTCAATTGTGTAGCTTATTTCGAAATAGCCTATTTTAAAATTGGGAGCGTCTACACAGCACTTATTTTGAAATAGAGCACTCCTCCTCTGACTTCCTTTACTCCTCATACAATGAGGGTTACAGGAGTCGGTGTAAGAAGTCTTCCAGCTTGACAGTATTTTGACATTATGTCAAAATAACTGCCTGCTGTGTAGACGCAGACTAAGTTACTTTGAAATACTGTAGCTGTGTAGACGTACTCTAAAAAGCAAAAAACAAACAAAAACAACCCCCCCAACCAAAACCAAAACTCCTGTTCTATATAAATGATTACCTATATGATGTCTGATGCTTTTCTTTTCTTCCTTTTCCCCACATGGACTGTAATATCTGAGCATATAACACGGTAAATTAAGGAAAGCCTAGCAGTCTCAATTCAGACTTTCTTAGGATTTTTGGACTCAGTTATATCCTCTGGTACCTACTCCAGTGGGAATTAAACTCATGTAATTGAATGCAGACTTTCACCCTTATGATTTCGGTACGACCAACAACATAAATTTGTGTGTATTTAATTAGTGTTGTTAGGTTTTCAAACTGGAGTGTTCTATTTTCTTGCTAGGAATGAGCATTATAAGAAGGTGTAACAATTATTATATATTTTGTTCCATTTTTGGGATGATTGGGAAGGATCCAAAGGTACCGAAATTGGGAGGAGGGAATAAAATAACCTATATTTTTCTGCCAGAAAAGTCTTAGAAATCATATTTAATAGCAACACTAGGTTTCTAAATTAATTGGTGAGAAAGCTGCTGTGCTCCATTACTACAAAGTTTTACTGGAACAGCAAGATTTCCCGGATTTAGTGGGAGTAGGAACAGGCCCCAGTGCTTCGCTATGTAATAAATTTGTTAGCAGTTTCACACAGTTAGCAGTGAATTCTGGCCAGCTCATTTTGTAATTGTTTACCTGCCTGTAAATTTTCCTTTTAAAAAAAGCCAGTCATTTTTGGTTTAATGTAAGGCAAAATGCATATTGTAATATATCATAAGAAAATATCACTTTAAACCACTGTTAAAAGAAAATTACTTATTCAAGTTACCTGATTCTGTAGTAGTCAAAGTACAGAACCTTCATTAGTTTCTGAAAACAATGATTTGCCAATGGTTTATCCATACTTAGGGACAGATTATTCTTAGGTCAATGCACCAGGGATTGGTCTTGATGGGATTGGGATTGGGATTGGGGGTGTGGCTGCACCTCTGTTCTCCCTGCACCTGGAAATGACTGGAGTACTTTACTAGGCAGAAAGGCATGCTCCACATTTTTAAAAAAGGTATAGCTAATGTCTATTTTAGAGAGGCTACTTAATGTACCTTCAGAGGCATCTGGCCTGATTTTAACTTCAGTTACACTATCATAAATCAGAAATGGGACAACTGACGTCAATGGTGTAAAGTGTAAATGAAGTCAGAATCAGACTTTTACTTCCTTGGGCATAATGCTTCCAGACATTTCTGAGTGTGGTTCACATCCTGCTCTCCCTACTCTCATGTCATGGCTCTGTACTGAATCACCAGAACCCCACAATACTTGTGAATGCCCAAGAGGATAGCATTTTCTCTGAGGGTCCAGTAGGGCTGGCCTTACCATGAGGCGAGCTGAGCTGGCTGCCTCAGGTGCCAGACTATGAGGGAAGGAGGGGGCACTAGGACCTAGAGTGTAGAAAATTGTGTCTGCTGCTGGTGCATATGTATTCTCTCTGCTCTAGATGCACAGAGATGGTGGCGTGCAGTGCTGGAGGAAGGAGGGCACAAGAGACATAACAGGCAGGCAGGAGAAAAAGTGGCATGGGGGCGTCATTTGAGCTCCCCGCCTCAGGTGCCAAAATGTTGTGTGCTGGCCCTGGAGTCCAGATTAGGTGTTGAGAACCTTTTCTGTAACAAATACTGTACAGTATTGTATTAAAGAATCTTATATTTCCCTATATATTTAATGTATATGTAAGCGTATATATCCACATAGCTATTTAATATAGATATTAGACATCAGATAGATAAATACCCCTATAATTGTGGAAAGCACATAGTGTGATGTAGATCATTTACTAAATCAGATTAAAGGTGCTATTACTCATGGCAATGTAATACTATCTGTAATTTCTGTGTTAAACTTGACATTATAAATCCTTTAATCTGAGTATTTAAAAGCTGTTCTATGGCCCATTTTTCAAACAGCATTCCCGCTAACACATTTACTGCTAATGAACCACTAACATGTTCTCTCTTTCTTAGATAAACGCTGTTGACCAACATTATTATTTGCTCCTCACATAATTATTTTTTTGGCTTTTTAATTTAATTGCTTCAATAAAAAATACACCAATAATGCATTTTTAATTACACTTCCCAGGTGACCTATGTAAAAAGAGGTTTTATAATGAAGCCACAGTAATTAGCCTGTTGCAGTCCAGTTTGGGGCTATTGTCTAGTTGTCCTTTCCGTGGTTCGCCTTAGCATGACTAGAATTCTAAAAGCCTAATGTATTATCTCCCATAACACTTAGGAAGGTATTAAAAATGTGTGCAATACTGGCAGAAGCAGGCTTTCTAATTATTGTCAACTATTTCCACTGTGACGTGGTGGATTCCCTTGAGAACTGAAACAACAGCCCACTCCAGGATTTGTAATAGGCCCTAGAGCCTAAGTAGTTGTAGACAGAGCTGTTTCCCTCAGGATAGATAATTGGTTTACATAGCAGCTCTACAGCTGAACTAAATCCATTTTTTTTACTGTTGTGATTTCCCTGTTTAATATATATAAATTATTTGGGGATATTAAATATGATGCGACTCAGTGTTTTATAGCAGAATAATTTGCACGTTCTTCTTTACTTGGAATGATAATAACGATTATTACCCAACATTTTCATGCATAAAACGATAAAATATTATTAAGGCCAAATTCAGTGGTCCTTAATCAAGCAAAACTTTTATTGAAGTCATTGGGAGTTTTGCTCAATTAAATGCTGCAAAATTTAGCCCTTAGTGTGCTAAAAAGCACATCCGTGGTTATGATAGATATTGTATGTAATGTTATCTTCTGTCATATTATTCAATAAGAGCATACTCAGTTTAGGTTTTTTGCAGGTGTAACCAAAACTTCTTTGTAGGATGCTTATCTTTTATTTTAAATACATTTTTAATGAAGACATTTCTGGAACCATTTTGTTGGAAGGTCACAGTTAAAAACAGTAGCATTCAAATCATATAATTGCTGTCAATGTTAATAACACCATGTTGCCAACAAAACAGGCCAATTTTAAGTTAATAAAAATATTTCTATCCCTAATGCATCAATGTAAAGGTGAATTTTACATACTGCTTATAAGTACAGAAACAAAATGTACACACAATATTCTATAGGCATGTGCCAAAGCACTGCAGTAATTTTGTAATTATTTCTGATGTTCTGGACCAATAACTTAGAAGACTTTGGTAATTTATTTAATAAGAGGAAACTCTGAAAGAGCCTATCAACATTATTTTTATTACCTGTTTTTCAAGTAGCATAGAAGGAGCCAATCCTGCAAGGTGCCAAGAGCCAGCGGAAATGATGATACCTAACTCACTGGGGGTATATCTACAGTAGCTTGTTAGTTCGAGATAGGTAGGCAAGTGAGGGCAACTGGAGTTGCAAACGGTCTTCATTTGCATCTTGCGGGGAGCCGCCATTTTAAAATCCCCTTTAGTGAGGACTCCATGCCCGCGGCTACGCGCGGCACGGAGTAGGTAGTTCGAATTAGAGATCCTAATTCGAACTACCATTACTCCTCATTCCATGAAGAGTTCCACAAGGAGTAACGGTAGTTCGAATTAGGATATCTAATTCGAACTACCTACTCAGTGCCGCGTGTAGCCGTGGGCACGGAGTTCAGACTAAGGGAGAGTTAAAAATGGCGGCGCCCGGGAACATTCAAATGAAGCCCGGGATATTTAAATCCTGGGCTTCATCTGAAACTCCGGTTTCCCTCATTTGCCTACCTAGCTCAAACTTATGAGCTAGTGTAGACATACTCAGGATGTTTACTCTATGTTTGCTGTTTAAATAGGATGCTCAAATGCATGGTGCAACTGAATATTTCATGTGTCTCTTACCCTTAAATCCAGCCACAGATAGAGTTAGAGATAGCTGAGATAACGAGTCTGATCCTGTATTTTCTATTCAAACACTGACTTCATTGGGCTCCACGAGAAGTGCAGGATTGGGCTTAAAATCTGCTATCTGATAAATACAATAGCTATAAGTCTTCCCTTTTATCTGTTCAGCGCGGCTGAAAAATCATTTATTCATGTTATACCTTTGGGAAACAATATTTACTAGAATGCTGCCTCAGTGAATCATTATGTCCAGTGCTAAAATATCATTTCAGGATACTCTGTGCCCCTGAGATGACAATGTGCTGAAAAAGAAGCAGTGGAGAAATATTTAACTGTAGAGGACAAAGTATAAAGTTTATGCTGATATCCTCAAGATTGTAAATTTTCACAGAAGTACTAACTTGCATTTCTCCTTGTAACTAGGTGTGGATTAAAATCTGTCCACAGTTGAAGCTATGGAACTCTGAAGTTGACTTCAATGGGTTTTCACAAGTGTAAGTCAGAACAGGATTGTGTCCAGCTGAGAGAAGTACTGAAATCTTGCATCTCTGATTGATTACTATTTCTATAATATTCACAAGGGCACCACTAACACTCCTTAAGGCTCCCATTTAAAACAGTACTTAAGCACTTTCTTAAGACCATCACTATTCAGAAAAGCGGTTCCATGCATACTTAACATTAAGTACATGCTTACATCAAACTGAAGTGAATGGGACTTAAACTCCTGAAGTGTTTTGTGGATGCAGGGAATTGTGAATTTAGTATTCCATAGCACCTGAAATAAAATCAATGCATTGTAATAGAGAATTCAAGAGCAATTTTTTTCTAGTAGCTTAGTAGTTTCTGTGATTCATTCCATGTAGAATGTTTGTTAACAATAGACACACTATTTTGAAGGTGTTAACAGTAGAATAAATGAAGCAGATACGTTTCGTGCTAACACATGAAGTTGGAGATGTTATAGCTGTGGTAAAAGTAAGTATCTAAGATGAACAGAAAAGATGAGAAAAAATCAGTCATGTGGGTTGTCAAATATAACCTTTTGGCATTCTAATAAACTGTTGCTTAGATAGAAATATCAAGCTATTACTAATGGCTATTAATGTGTACATGCTTCATGTAATTTTATAGTATCTTATTTTAATATCTATAATTTTAATGAATTGCAATTTAGGAAAGAAACAATTTTCATTTACTTTATATAACATAATTATGGACCAAATTAACCCCACACTAGTCTTAATTACATTTAGTTTCATTTGGCTGCTCAAGCAATTAACATGCCACTGTATTTTGGTAGTAAAAACCAAGTTGTTATGGTCTTTCTTCAAAAAACATGTACTTGTTCATCTCAAGTGTAGCTACTGTATAAAATTGTCCTTTGAATTTTGTTTTGTTTTGTTTGTTTACTGTACATTCAGTGTGTTGCAGCACAGGAATGTAAGTATAATGAGGCCCTTCTGCACCTGGGGTCCTGTTACTCTGTGCTGCTTAATAATTTTCCCTCCATCCTTTATCTGCTGCACTCAGAATGTTCCCATGTATTTCTCTTTTAATTGGGAACTAATTTTAGTTCTGCCATTAGTAATGTTAAAGAAAAACCCAAACAAACTTGTATTTCCCCAAGCCTCTGAACTGTCACTCAAAATTTTTTAGAAGAAAATACATACTGAGGCCTGGAAAAAATATTTTCGCTATATTGGCTAAGGAGCAACTAAAGAATACTTTTAAAAGCAAAGACAACCCCCTCCTGTCCTCCTCACCCCTCCAAAAAAACCTAAAACATTCAGCCACATACTGAAGTACTGAACTCAAGGTTTACTCTACAAGAGTTTTGACTGCATAAGGACTTAGAGAAAACAGAGTAAGGACTTTAGAGTTTGGCCTATTAAAATTTAGTACTTTCTATCAGTTCATCTAAGGTTTTCAACTAATTGAGAGAGAAAATGGCCTTTTGCAACAAACCTAATTACAGTAACACAGGGTTATATAAGCGCAATTCATAGCCTAGGCATATTTTCAAAGAAATAAGAGATATTGTGTTGTCCATTAAGAAGGGCTTGGGGAATAATACTGTAAGAATGACCATGTTTTATATCATTTCAATTTAAAAAAAATATGAAAAACAACTTTTTTAAAAAGACAATCTTTCTAAATGCGCACCAAAAGACTGTATTTTTAAAAGGTTTTTTTTTTTAACTTTTTGTCTTTTTGGTCTTAAATCTAGTGTGTTTCAACTAATAAAAACTTGGAGGTTCATTTTGATATGCTATGTATTTTGAGCTAGACTGTTTTACAAAATTTTTTTTGCACTAGGTGTTTACATTTTTAATTAAAACCAGTTGTTGTATTCAAGGATAAAGTAATTGTGGTGATCAATCAATTGTTTTGTTGAATAGAAGGAGGAAGGCTTCGAAGACACTGTAATTCTTCTAAAGCATCTCTATGACAAACATTTTCACCCATGAATATTTTTGGATCAATTTCTTGGATCTCTGTGCCTTCCAAAGAATGGACTCGTCTGAGTGCAACAAATGGTTGGGCTGGTGCAAACTATTGAGAGCCAAGTGTAGGGGATCTCCTCGCATCCGAAGGGGTCCTCCCTTTTTTGTAGCCCTCTCTGCAATGGGAAGGGCCCCTCTCCTTTGGGGTACTTACAGTACCTATTGTCTCTGCTGTATATTTCCCCCTCCCCTCATGTATAACTGCGCCTGAAGAAGGGGCCTTTTGCCTCTCAGGAGGGGGACCCGGGCCCACCCTCTCCACCAGGTCCCGGCCCGGAGCCCTGGGGAGGGATTACAATGCTCTCCTCTCTATATTGGTTGATGGGGTGACCACCCATACACGTCAACCTGTGGGCAATGAAGCCCTGCTCCGAGCTACTTCCTACCCCGCTGACGTTTTTTCTTACTCCCATCATACGTCCTCGGCCCGTCCATCCCACTCCCCTGCAAGTTCCCCTGATCCTGGCTCAGGCTTGCGGTCCTGTGGTAGTCATGGGTCTTGGTCCACTGGGGTGCCTTCCCAGCTGCTGGCTCCGGAGCTCCGTCAGTCCAGTTCTTCTCCTGAGCGCTCGCAGTCGGCTTCCCTGTGCTCTTGGGAGCCGCCACCGCTGAGACTCACCTCTCCCGTTCTGGCATGAGGGCTGCCAGTTTTAAAGCTGGCACACCACTGACATGGCCACTGAGCGCTCCGTGCTGCCTAACTCCTTCCCCTTCCACCATCCCTCCGCTAGTGGGGTTCCTGGGAAACCTGGGATGCCCACGCCTGCACCCTCCTCCTGCCCTGGTCCTTGCCAGCTTCCTGCCGGTGCATGGGGCGACATTCCCCAGTGACCCAGGATGCCACCACTTGCATATTCCTGCCAGCCCGGTTCCCCCTGGCTGTCCGCTGGAGTGCGGGGCTTGCCTGCCCTATCGCCCGCCTGCACCTGTGCATCCCGGCTGGTGCAGTTCTCCCTGGCTGTCCCCCGGAGTGCGGGGCTCACCTGCCCCGTCTCCCGTGCAACCCAGGGTGCGTGCGCCTGCACGTCCTGGCCGACACAGCTCTCCCCAGCTGTCCACTGTAGTGCAGGGCTCACCTGCTCCATCACACCAAGGTTCACAACTGCTCTGTCCACCGTGGTCCCTTGTAGTTTGTGGATGGTAACTGCATAAGCATGGATGATTGGAAGCATTTACCGCTCTACCAAGCTGTATCCAAAATTCACTTGAAATTGACATGTGATTGGCTTGATGATGTGCTTGGCAACATCGCCTTCAATTTGAATTTCAACTTTAGGGATATTAGTTTCATGAATTTGGTAGCGGCAGAAGTAGGGCCATAGAATTATAGAACACTAGAACTGGAAGGAACCTTGATTGATCATCGAGTCCAGTCCCCTGCCCTCATGGCAGGACCCAGTACTGTCTAGATGAGCCCTGATAGATGTCTATCTAACTTGTTCTTAAATATCACCATATTATATTGGTGATGATATCAATTTTGCCGTTGCCCAAGCACACACACAGGCAGAGACTTGGCGTTGATTTAACATTGCCATACATATTTTAAACAACTTTTGAGAAACAATCTTTGCTTTTCTCCTTTCTGATTTGAGCAATAGGGTCTCTGAAGCTTCTTTCAAGACTTATAGGTTCACATTTAGCAATGTACTTGGCGATATAAGAGGCAATTGGAATAGCATCTACACACGGTTGAATGTCTATGTCCACACCCCAGTGGCTTAAGATCGAACCTTCTTGAAGCCTCTGGAACCCATCCCAGTCAAATCAAACTTTCTAGAATCCCTTCCAACCCTTGCAATACAAATACAATGCACACCCATATATTTATATATGTATATACATGTGTGCGTGAAAGTTGAAAATTCCATGACAGACAGACAGACAAGAATGATGGCCGTTTATTAGAAAGATTATCTAATAATAAAATGTGACCTTAATTTGAATACAATCTAACTATGTTTTTTCACAATTAAAAATTATGATTATGCCATAAGACCTTCACACTTTTCAGTGGAGAATAACAATGTATTTATTTTAACAATATGTTACATTGTTTTAGTAGAGTGGCTCTTTAGGAATTACTACATTGGATTCATGAGCCCTTGCTCTAAAACAGGGATGAGCAATAATTTTTATAAGTATTTGGTAAGTGGTCAAGGGCCACACTCTTCCATGATATTAATGGAGGAGGTATGGGATCTGAAACAGAGGTTAGGTGCAGAAGGAAGCTTAGGATGCAGGAGAGAGTATGGGACTGGGTATGGAGTTGGGGGAAAGAAGGCGGTTGTGATGTGGGGTGCAGCAAGGGGGTGCAGGATCTGGGAGGGAGTATGAGAGCAGGAGAGGATTCTGACCTGAAGGAGTGCAGGAGGGAGTGCAGGGTCTGGGTGGGGGTTGTGACTTGGTACAGGAGTACCAGGATTTAGGAGGGAGTGCCAGGATTTAGGTTGTGAACAGAGACAGGGAATTGGGGTGCAGGATCTGGGAGGAGGTATGGGTGCAGAGGGTTTATGTTACATGGGGTAGGGATGGACAGAATGTTGGGAGGAGGTGGGGCTGGAGGTACAGAGGCAGGCTCTACTCAGGAAACATTTACCTGGACTGAACCTGGCCAGCAGCCAAGTAGGTCCCTCAGTCAGACTTCCTGCCTTTAGCGCAGACTACAGGGGCCATGTGCTTCTCTGAACACTAGGAGCCCCAGGGGAAGGGGTACTTCATGTGCTGCATGTCCTGCAAACAGGCAGCTCCCATTGGCCAAAAACCAGCTGTGAGATTGTACTGAAGGCAGGGGCAGTGCTCAAAACCTCTTTTCCCTCAGGCTCACAGCGCTCACAAAGATACATGACCCCCTCAGACAGCTGCTCTGAGTGGAGTGAGAGGGCAGGGCAGGCAGGGAGCCTGCCATGGGCCATATTTTGCCTGCTCTGATCTAGACTCTAGTCCTTCAACCACACTCTAGTAGATTTTCCATCTCTCAATATTCAACTCTATTTAGGAGGTTTTTTGTTTTTTAAAGTATCCTTAACTGCAATATTGAGAAAGCACTTTTCCCCAGGCAATACTGGCAATACTGAGGGCTAAATGCTTCTGCTTTACAAGAACAGTCACACTGATGTATTTGGCATTACTTGCATAAACAAGTGAGCAAGAGTTGGTCTTTCATTCTGCAACTAGACATAGTGAGGTCCATCAATGATGTTTAATTACATCATGACAAAAAGCCATGAGAAAATTTCCCACTTTTCATAAAAAGGAAAATAGTAGGTATTTTCTGTTCTATGTAATCTCTGTAATTCCTCTATTTTTCAGATGTAAAGGTTTTTTATGAATGAAGATAAGAAGATTCTGGAAGTGTCTAAAGCCTTGGGTACATTGGGAATTTGACCTTATTCAATCTTTGGTGTAGCTCTACTACACCATCTATTGGACAGGCAAAGCATTTATAGCCACAATCTGACCTGATGCGGAGGAGCACATCTCAGCCTATAAAAGCGTATACTGTCCATGCTAAGAGTTTTAACATGACATCATCCACCAATGGCTTGAATGCCCAGCATATCCAAAGCTTAGAAAACAATTGATATATTAAATTACATATTGCTGTCAGCTACATGAAAAAACCGTACATACTGTATATCAGTTGAAACAGCATAGTACTTTTTTAAAATAATGAGCCAAATCCTTCTTCCTGTACTCACATTGAATAGTAACTTTCTTTCAAAGGAATTACATGGAAATGTCTAGCCCTACAGCAATAACTTGAACAGATGGGGTAAAATGCTGATCTATTGAAATCTATCACCACCCTGCATCTTAAGCTGGGAGAAGGTTGTTTGCTTGACTGACCAGCAGAAGAGAGTGATTTTTGATGGCTGGGGTGGAAGGAGGAAAAGGAGATGCAGAACTTCTGGAAAGGAGTTACTAGCTATATCTGCAGTTGGCATTACACAAGCCACTTGCTGAGGACATGGGGGTCGGGAAGGAATTTTCCCCTTTTCTCCATATTGGCCTAGGTGCAGGTGGGGATTGGGGGTTCACCTTCCTCACAGCAGGTTTGGGTGGTCCCTGTTTGTGCAGAACATGGAAGTGGTAGGCCATATGTCACAACTCATTATTTAAGCGTATAGTGCATGTTCAGAGCAGGTACCCCACAAAAGAAGGCATATAGTAACAGATAAATAGCTTGGGGAAAGGACTTAACGGAGAGGTGCTTGGTAATTGAGTGAGCTGAGGGTAGCTGGGGACTCCTATGATTGGTATCACATGTCCTGGCAATGGAGTTGCTGGAGGGATCTGAATGGAAAGATGAGGGAGTTGAAACCATTCTCATATCCTGTGTGGTCCTAGCAGTGGATTGGCTGGAGGATCCTGGGTGGAAAAAGGTTGGGGGAATTAGTAAGGGCACTGTTCACCCTTCCTCCCTACCCCCATCTCTGATTACTTATAGGAGAAAACAAGGGAGGGTTACCTGCACTGTACCCACTCCAAATCGTCAGCTGACTGGTAGGTAGCTGTTTGGTGCTGGAAGCTTCCACAGGGCTATTGCCACATGCTTCTCAACTGTCAGAGCTGATCTCATTCTGGTATTGCTGCATTTCAGGGTAGGGGAAAACCATTCGCAAACTTCTATGAAAGTGGCCTTACACATGAAAGTTTTGCAGCCACTACTGATCACCCCATTGCTGTATAACTATGTCCCACCAGTCTGTGCTTGCCTCCTGGCAACAAAACTAACCAGCATTCCACCATGTCAAGAGGATCAAATGCTGCCAGCATCTGCCAATTGCTCATCTCAAGAGCTTCACACAGGTGTCTGTTCATGGCCTTCTCAGATGCTTCCTCATTCCACCAGGCCCTGGATAGGCTCTGGACATACTGCAACATAATGTGTGAGACGTTTGCTAAGATTGCCATAGTACTTTGCTGCTGAACAGGGTCCAGGATAACCCTGCTATAGTGTCTGTACAGATAACCAAGGAAAGTATGTCCCGAAAAGATTGTTTGCCATTGCTTTCAAGCGGGAAGTGGAAATAGGAAATTAGTGCATTATAGAATAATGACAACATGTATCTAGAACCACCCCCTGCATGTCGCAACGGGCACTGAGAGAATAATCAGAATGCAAAGGGGTGGCAGGACTGTGGGATAGCTACCCACAGTGCATCACTGTCAAAGTCGACAATACCCCCCTTACTGTGGACACACTACACTGAACTCTTGCACACAATGGAGACATTCACTTCCAACTTTACAAAATCAAGTGCTAAAATATCTATCTTAATAAATTTGACCTTATCTAATACAGTAGCTAGGTCCTTAAGTAGGGCCAGGATTTCATTCCTGCCTGAAGATTCATGTAACAGCATAAAAGCACAAAATGGCTGCTGAAAATGAAGCTAATTATTGATTATTATCTTCCACAAATTCTGTCTCAATCTTTCTAGGCAAAAAAGCATTACAATATCTATTTGCTCTTCTTTGTAAGGGAATTTACACCGTGAACCACAAATTCACTTTGAAATCAAAGATTTGAGTTTCACATCCAGTAGAATTCATGCTACTTCCAACTATTATGTGTGTGGCAAGAAAAAATTGTGATAACTCCCAGTAGTGGTAGCATTCCTCCATATTTCTAATGCAAAAAAAGGTACTACAACCTCACATCACGCTAATTCAAAATGTGGTGCTTCATAGAATGTTTATGTACACTTGCTCTCCATTAACATTTTGAGTTCATTTACTGTGGCTTTATTCTCAGGCTGCATCTAGACTGGCATGATTTTGCGCAAATACTTTTAACGGAAAAGTTTTTCCGTTAAAAGTATTTGCGCAAGAGAGCGTCTATACTGGCATGTTCCTTTGCGCAAAAGATTTGCTTTTGAGCAAAAGCATCCGTGCCAGTGTAGACGCTCTCTTGAGCAAGAAAGCTCCGATGGCCATTTTAGCCATTGGGCTTTCTTGCGCAAGAAATTAACGTTGCTGTCTACAAAGGACAGAGCACATTGGGAGGAGGATTGCTTTTCAATGATGTTTTCTATGTTCTGCAGTTTCCAAGTGCTTTTGTCTTCAGCGTGATTTTTGGAAATACCATGAAAGTGTTACAACAAAGGAGCCTCCTGCGTTAAGGTGAAGTTGTCCCAAAAGTATCTGAAAATTTATCAAAAAGTCCTGTTGTACCTTTCTACTGTCCTGTTGTACCTGTTTTGCTCAAGCCCTTAAAGAGTACCATTTTGTCCCATACCTTTATCAGAAGATTTACTCTATTAAACACCCCATTTTTGTTCCTTTAAAGAGTGTACAGTAATAACTTGGGACATGTTTCACACCGTTGTGAAAAAAGATGAAGAGTCCTGTTGCATCTTAAAGACTAACAGGTTTATTAGGACATAAGCTTTTGTGGGTAAAACCCACTTCATCTGATGAATTGCAGTGGAAATTACAGAGTTAGGGGTATATATATAAGTAAAAAAGGAAGTTATTTATAAAGTGTAGGACCAGTGTTAATGTGGCCAATTAAATCAGAGTGGATGGGTCTAACTCCCTGCAACAAATCCCATTGCCAACTCTGTCTACATATCTATATGAGCGACACCATCACAGGACCTAACCACATAAGCCATACCACTCGGGGCTCATCCACCTGCACATCTACTAATATGATATATCCCACCAAATGCCAGCAATGCCCCTCTGCCATTATTGGCCAAACTGGACAGTCTCTGCTCCAAAGGATAAATGGACACAAAACAGACATTAAGAAAGGTAACACACGTAAACCTGTAGGAGAACATTTTAACCTCCCTGGACATTCAGTAATGGATTTAAAAGCAGCCATTGTTCAAAATCTTCCAAACCAGATTACAAAGAGAAAAAGCAAAACTACAGTTCATTTGCAAATTCAATAAATCAAATTAGGATTGAATAAGAATTGACTGTTTATCTCACTACAAAGGCAATTTCCCCTTTCTTGGTATTCACTCCTCCTCATCTGCTGCTATGACTGAGTTACATCCATGTCTCTAAAGTGCCACAGGACCTCTTGTCATTTTTGCAGATACAGTCTAACACGACTACCCCTCTGAGACTTCACTCCATTGTATTATTTAAACTGCAGTTTCCTACAACCATGGATCTCCCGTGGATGCTAAGTTCTCTTGCATTCTCTGTGCCCTGCCCCTAGAAATTCCCCCCTCCTTCCTGTTAGTAAGCTTAACTTATCCACATGTGAATTTATCTTCAGGAATGTGGGATATTTATTTATTTCAGGGTAACATACCCATAGGACTAAATTTAGGCTTGCCCGGGTAAAAACATACTACATCAACTACTTAGTTGATTTAAAATATTGCAATTTTGCTTAAATTGTAAAGCTGGAAAACGTAGTACAAATACGACATCCATCTTATCATTCAACAAGGGACATTCATGCTATAAAATGGTGTTGTAATAAGTAAATAGCTGGTTTTCTGAAGCACTACTCAGTGGTCTAGCCCATTTTGTTTCAAATCACATCTTGCACATTTAATGCTGCTGTACTCTTTTATTAAATTGGAAAAATATATTGTTTATAAAGGCTATTCTTGACAAATAGAAACCAAAGCAAGGTGTAAAAATCTATTGTTCCCATAACTGGAGATACACTGTGAAATAGAATAAAGTGATAAATATGTAGTATAATTGTTTGTTGTTGCCATCTATCTGTGACTAGTGGCAAGGAAGTCTAAATGAAGTACAAAGAAATTTTTAATAAAAGAACAAAAAATAATGGGTTCTATAACCTGTGAGAACTTTGGATAAAAAAAAATCCCCTGAAACTGAAATTCTCTTTAAAATCGTTTCAGTTTTTCTCTCTTCTTTTCTTTTGTAGCTCTTACTTAAAAGCCTCTGGGTGATTTGTCCTATTCCCTGCCCAATAACAGCCAAATCATTGTTTTAGGGGAGATGTTTTTTAATGTTGTATATTTTATTTTATGTTTTTTCCCTAGGACATCACATCCATACATTGCAGAAAATGTGAACATAAGCAGCTGCAATATGAGATGAACTTTGAACACCAAATAGGTAGGCCCTAGAGGGGAGGAACTGAAATATGAGCTGCTTACTCTTGAAGCCCTTTAAACCCTCCAATCTGTTTTAAATTATTTTGGTGCCTCTATTTAAAGGTTAAATTTTTGTTGTTGTTGTGAGCCATAGTTTAGTAATACAAAACCTGGGCAATATCAGCATACCGTCAATTCACAGATTATACACCCAGGGACTTTTCTGATCCTGCCTAAAGTGAACCAGCATGTTTATACTTAGCAACACATTTTGACATGAATGAACTTTTCACATCTCCTCTCATAAAATAAACACATGAATTCAGCACGAAAAAAATTAACTAGCTCAACCATCATCTTTACATATGTTATTCGTAGACCATATATCTAAACTTGAATATAGTTGCAGATATACACAAAAACATGTGTTTTATATATATAGATAGATAAATAAAACAGACACTGTAACACTGCATATTATACATCAAACCTTTTCCACCAAATTCTTTCTTTATGTTTCATTTTTAACATTTTATTTAAAATGAAACAACCATCATCTTTACATATGTTATTCGTAGACCATATATCTAAACTTGAATATAGTTGCAGATATACACAAAAACATGTGTTTTATATATATAGATAGATAAATAAAACAGACACTGTAACACTGCATATTATACATCAAACCTTTTCCACCAAATTCTTTCTTTATGTTTCATTTTTAACATTTTATTTAAAATGAAACATTTTTTTCCAGTCTTTTCATGCAAAATCTTGGCACCCAAAGCACTTTTAATGTTTGCTTTTCTTTCTACAGCATTTTGTTTCAGGGCACTCATAATTTGAGCACTAGGGCTTAGATGTCAGCATGAATGCAGTTTCGATGGCTGCTTTTTGCCATTGCCACTTTGAGTTCAGCTCTAGTAAGTGCCAATGGGAAATTCCTAAAGGCCAAGCCATTTTCAATGAATTAGCATCAAGACACTGAGTCTTTGTATAGCATTTAGGTGTAACTTGATTCAAAATGCATATTTGGGGATTTCTGACAATGCTGTCTTTTGTTTTTTATGCAAATAGAAAAAGCCTTGGAATCTCTTAAATTTGTATGATCAAAGATGACCACCTATTAAAATAGACACATTTTTGTATTATGCCTTCTAAAAAATACTGCTTTCTGACAACTCATTCATTTTATGTATTTTTAATCAAATTCATTCTGAGACACTGTATTTGACATGATACTCATCAAATGTTACAGTCGGCTAGAGACACAGACATCTAAAATATAACAGTTAAAGAGTTTATTCTACTCTCAGAGTGCAAGTTATACTCTGATAGAATTAATAAGCAAATTAGATACATAAACACTAAGAGATTAATATTATTTTAGTACTGTAAGAAAGAAGCATGGCATCTTTTTCTTTCACTGCTTGAATTATAACCTGGAGTTTAAACAAATCCTTTGATTCAAATCATGATAGCCATCACTTGCATGCTGTTGTTCTGTGCTGCTTCCTCCAAGTAATGGCAAGTCACTCTGTGAAGACAAAGCTTCCCCAAATAGTCATCATTGCTGTAGATGAAGTTCAACTCTGTATGAAAGTCCAAATACTGAGCCCAGAGCCCATTTCAAGAACTACTCTGGGCATTCCAGTAGTATGTGAAGACATATTTATAGCAAAACAGATGAGTTATATTCATATAAAATGATAATGTAATATAGGCTTTTTTTAGTTATGGTTCCCCAATTGAGGAAAATAAACCAGACTATATGTTTATGCTCCAAAGCAATTTGATTTTTATAGCATTTTCAGATTTTTTTAAGGATTTTCTTTTGTGTTATATTTAACATTTTTGTCAGATTCTTGTCACATAGGTTTAAGCTTTGACTCTCAATATTTCCTCATCTCCTCTTAATGCTCATATAACTCCTGATTCCTCCTTGGTTTCAATAGATTTTGGATCAGGCCCATGAAGAATATAGTCCATTATAACGACAAGCGGAATGATGATAATGCTGTGGAATCACCCTTGGAGAGCATTAAAGAAAAAATTACGTTTTGCATCCCACATTTTTCATCATTTCTTCCTAAAATAAAATTCTGATCTTACACCAGTGTTGCTTTGGTGTTATTCCATTGACATCAATAGAGTCACTCCTGATGCATCTGAGACCAGAAAATCCAGCCCACTGTTTGTTTGTTTTTTTAAAATAAAGAACAAGTAAAATTAAAAAGAGAAAAAAAAGGTAAGACTTTGTGACACACACTATGACAGTTACATTGCTGGCCTCAGAAGGTAAAAACTACAATAAATTTGATGTCATCTGCATGTTAATTACAAAAAATAACCAAAAACCAAAAACAACCCCTCCACTTCCTCCCCACCCTGTTTCTAGTTTGCTTAGGGCCTATTTTGGCCCTTGGAATTTAATGAAATGGAATTATAGCAATGAAAACAAGGATAGTGCTAATAGATTAATTATTTTTATTGACTCAATTCTCTCTCCATTTTAAATTCAGCATAGGAAATTTCTGAAACTTGCCCAAAAGCTGTGAGTTTTGATAGAGATGTTATCCACCAGGCACAGTCTATTACAATTTTCTTACTCCAGAAAAGCCTTTCAGAAGCATGGGTTTTTTGGTGTTATTTTTAAAATGAAATTCTTGTTGCCTAATTAAGTTTGAGCTCTATTTATTTACTATGAAAAGATTAAGGTCTCTTAATAATAGGACTTGTTAAACTGGGAAACTCTAGAGGTTCAAAAGAAGGCTTTGGCAGGTATTTAATTTCAGCATGTTTATTCATCATGCATTTGATTTAAAGCCCATTGACTTCAACAGGGTTTGGAACAAGCTCAATATCTTTAAGAACTGGAGGATTTTTTCCTTAATTTCTGTTTAGCAACGTAACAGCCTCTTCTGATTATTTTTTTTATCGCTTACTATAATTATATATTTTAAAAAATATTCCTATTGAAACCATTGCATGGTTGTCATGGAATTGTTGGTAATCTGTGATTACATTATGTTATCTTTTGCCAGGACACTTGTAAATGAGGCATTATCCTCTGAGATTTTCTTGGCTGAAAATGTGAGTAATTAAAAATGTAAACAAATATTATCCATTGCATATGCCACAATAATAAATACTTCGGGATAATACAAGTTAATGACTCTTTAGGGATCTAGCTTAATTCTGCTACAGCATTTTCGTAGGTGTACAAACAAACAGTTAAGCATTTCATATTTTAAGCATGCATATTGTATTTACACAGTAAATAGTTCTCATTTCCAAAAAACCCAGCATTAGTGTAAGAGCAACAACAGCAGTAGCATAAATGTTGCGCTAGGACAAACAAGGAGGGAAAATTGTAAGGTGTCCAAGCCTAGAAGGCTTCAGTGCTTAGTACTTTATCTTAATTCTTTGTACAAAGCCTGAGTAAATGAGCATAGGGCAGGAGATCCCTGCAAATGTGAAGAAAAGGGAATACTCTCTTTTTCACCTGTGGAGTCCTAGCTTAGCTATTCTGCAGCCTATGAGAGCACTGCAGACAGCATAGCAGTAGACATAGCCCCACTCCACTGTTCATCTTCTTTGTAAAGATACCAGCACAAACTTTTTAGCAATGCAAACGATAGTCCTGTGGCACCTTAGAGACTAACAAAAAAATATATGTAGTATCATGAGCTTTCATGGGCAAAGCTCAGAAGCGAGTTTTGCCCACAAAATCTCGAAAGCTCATGATACTTACTACATATATATTTTTGTTAGTCTTTAAGGTGCCACAGGACTACTTGTTGCTTTTAGAGTTAGACTAATACGACCATCCCGCCGAGACTCTTTGTAATACAGACCGCGTAATAAGAAATTGTGGTTCTGGTGCTTTCAGGATCTCCCAGAGATATGGGTTTGGAGGAGAGGCTAGGGTTTGGTTTCTGGGCAGCTGGTATATTTTCATAGAGGGTGACTAGGGTGTGAATTCAGGATATTTTTTTCTACCTTTTCCTTTTAAATTTTACTTCTGAAAAACTAAATCAAAGCCCAGTATACCGGAGAAAGGTATGATCTTCTCCTTTAACACAGTCCCTAAATCCTGTTGAAATGTAATGATATTTTGTGTCAAATTTTTAACTCCCTTGAAAAAGAAACCTACCTATGAACCCTAGGGTTCTAATCCTCATTCTGCCTCTGACTTCTTCTTTCACCTTGACACAATTATTTTAAAACTCTCCTATTTTCCCCTTCCATAGACCTGGAATCACAGAACTCACTTCCTTCCCACTTCATGCTTCTTTTAAGATTCTTTTTGCCCACTCTTGACTTTATACTTATTTTCATGCCACCCCATATGCTTAGATTAGCCTATCAATTAATGTTTGCTAAACTACCTCCCAAAATTAGTATTAAAAACTCCCAAAGGCAGTTCAGTTATAATGTCCACTAAAAGGTCAGTGATCCTAGGACCTGTGTAAGGCCATTATGAGGAGTCATTAGCATGCCACTTGTTTAAAGCTTGCATGAAGCTGCAGTTTTATTACTAGTAAGTCATAGCAGCTGGTTAACTCCAGTCAGAATATGGACCCCCCTTTCTCTTTTGAGCAGAAGGAACTCTGTAGCCATCCAAGTATAGGGAGAAAGCTTAGACTAAAGATTTACGTTTGGTTGTTCAAAAGATGGATTTTATGTAAAGCCAACACACAAGGGAGTGGTAAGTTTGCATGAGCTAGTGTTTGCAAGTGTTCTGTTCAGAGTGTGATGGGAATTTCACCTATATATTTTAACTAATGATGGATTTCACCTTATTGAAAAAATAAGGATCTTAGCCTAAAAATTACAAAGATTTTCTACATTATTTTCATAAATTCTTATCTGAATTGCTTGGCACACTAAGTAGATGTATCTTTTTCAGAAGTTTATCATTACTGATTTGTACTATCTACTTTCCTTGATAAGCTGTTTTGTCTTATCTGTAGGAACTTATCACTTTGTGCGTGCAGCATGTAAGATGTATGCTGTCTGTAGTGGTTCACAAAAAATACTATCTTGGCAAGACAGGGCTTTCAAATGCTTAGAGTTGAGATTTCTCTCCTAGTTTTATGCTTGCTTGCTTACTAAGAGTCTTATTCTCAATTATTCAAAGACCCCTTTACAAACTAACAAAGTAAGTTAAAGGAGACCATTACTAGGTGATTATGAGAATCAGACAGTCAGTATTTTGCACAACAGAAATATGTACAAAGATTCCAAAGCTTGGAACAGTGGAAAAATAAAGCAGAATGACTTCACTATTTTATATTTTCATTTACCAATAACATATGTTTTAAAATAACAATTAGATGCACAACTCAGTTTAGTAAAAGTCTACTCTATATGCTGCGCAGTATGGTGAATGAAATTCCAGAAGATAGTTAATGTGCACAGTGATTTCAAGTCAGTTGGTATTGTGCGTTTTCTGGCTCATTTGTTTTGATTAATTATTTCAGCGGGGAGAGGAAAAACTTAAACTCAAATCAGGGAAACAAATAATTATTTTAAAAATTCTCCACCGGAAAAGCAGCTTTTTATTATACCTGTTTCTTTAAGAAGCACATAACCTACAGACTGCCGTTATCTGTTCTTCCTTTAGCTCATTCACTTACACTTTGTGAGGAAGATTTATCATAGTTATTAGATCAATGTAAAAATACCTGACAGGCCTGTAACACTATTTTCTTTTTTGCTTAAAGTAGCTTCTTAGCAAAAAGGACAATGAATGAAATGACTAACTTCAATCTGGAACTGTTGGGTTGCTTATGGAATGTTTTATCCTCTATATCCCTATATTTTCCCCATACTTCTGTCTCTTACCAACAACTCCACTGCAGATTCCCCAGGGCTACTTTCAGTATTTGACCTCACGTCAATCATAACTTTTCCTCTTAGCCACCAATGCTTTTGTTTTTTCCTTTTCCATTCTCTTCTGTGAATGATACTGCTACGCAGGAGCAACTGAAGTGGAAGAGGTAGTAGTAGGAAACAACAAAGGAGGTAATGTGTGTTATATATACACATTATGCATAGCAGTTGAAATTGCATATTTTTTTAAGTTGGCTTTGGATGAATTACACCACCTGCTAAGCAAGTGGGAATGGAACCCTGAGTGGTGATTTCAGTTATAAATACTGTTTGGTGGGTTTACCTTTTCTATTCTGTGTGACATGTTTTTTTCCAGAGTAGTAGCCTATGGCATTTGGCTGGGAAGATGAGACTTCAGTGAGATTTAGATCACAGTGACAAATTAAAAATACAAGACTGTCTTGTGATCTAGTTGAAATGAAATATTTCTAGCCCAGATAATGCAACACAACATGGTAATAAGCCCAGCACAATTTTCATGCGTCAGCAACATAACTGAGTTTGGTACCCTTAATATCCCATTTTTGTATTATATTCTTTCTAAGGTGAGGTGAAGGATATGGACACAAATATTTCCAAGGAATATAGCATGATATTTGATATCAGAAAGAAAGACAGAAATTTTTTCTAACACGTTAGTGACTGATGTAAACTGAACCCAAAGAGCAATTATATGCTAGGAAAAGCATACAAAGGACAACTTCTTTACAATGGAAGTCAGCATGGTCACCTACTCAATGCTCTTTTTTTTCATTTTAATTTCGGGTTTTGCTCTTGTGTCAACACCCCCCCAGTCTGACTTAAAACTCATAAAAGGAAGGTGTTTTCCTGGTTTTCAAATGCCCTGGTCTACTGTTGTGTTCCTATTAGCAAAATAAGGGAGTCATATTTTTTCTGTTATGGACATCTCAAATTTGTTGAAGTTTCTGTACCATATTTCAGAGAGATCTCAGAGAAGTCCTGTTGTGTTCCCAGTAGGTCTCCAGTGTCTATTCCTACAAATGTTGTGCGCACAGATTCATCATTAGGGGTATGTCTACACAGCACCATTACTTCGGAATAACTGATGTTATTTTGAAATAACAAAATGCACATCTAAATACAAGCAGTTATTTTGACATAATGTCAAACTAACGTCTAGCTAGAGGACTTCTTATTCCGACTCCTGTAA